GAACAGCAAATTATTCTTATCTTTTTTCTTTTTAATGTCTAAATAAAATAAAAATAAAATATTGATATAATTCTTACTTTTAGTTGTTTATGTATATTTATGTCAACTAAAATAAGAATACATTAACATATAAAAAAAAAACAATACAAATAATTTTAATTTACGTTATAAAAAGTTTTTATCTTAAATTCTCCTGCTTTTTATTTATTTAAAACTTTTTATTTTTATTTTAAATTTTCCTGATTTTTATTTTAAATTTTCCTGTAAAAGCTTCACATTGTCAACCCAATGCAACAAAATAAGGATTACATAATGACGTAATTCATTTTCTAAACAGAAACTTAACCAAAAAGTGCCAGAACTTTAGTAAATGCATGTAGTTTTAACTAAAATACACAAATTTGAAATAAAAATGTGCTTTAATTAAGCATCGTTATTCAAAACTTTAAATGTGAAAACGTAACATTTAATATTTTTTTGCAAAAACTTAAGATTATTAGCTAAACTTTATCATGTTTTTGTTAACTTACATTACATGAAAATTGCAAAAGTTCTTTTGTTATTATCATGAAATATATATAAATTTTAGAAAAAACAAAACTTTATCATGTTTTTGTTAACTTACATTACATGAAAATGCAAAAGTTCTTTTGTTATTATCATGAAATATATATATATATATATACATTTTAAAAGTATAAAATCTGAACAAACCCAATTTGAACATGTTAGCTCCATTTTCATGCTATATTAATGCCGATTATGCAAATAATTGGTTAAAATAACATTCTACAATGATACTTTTTTTATCATGCACAAATAAGAAAAACCGTAACTTTCTTAAGCATAAAAATTACTTAAATTAATTTTAATACTAAAGGTATATTTTAAATAAACTTTTTTGGGTTTACACAAATATTCATTTGATTAAAACTTACGAAAAAGAGAATATAATATCATTTTCCTCCGTGGAATTGCCCATATAAATATCAACCCTTAGATTTAGAGGTAGGAAATAAATTTGCGACAAAAATTTCCTCAAATGTCATTGCCAAATGCAGACCCTAATTCCGAGGGCTGATGAATGTTTTTAAAAGCATTTTAAATGTTTTTTAAAACATTCTAGTCTTTTAATCTGTTTTTTTTTGTGATTTTCTAAATTTAAGTACTTCTCGCAATTAAATTAATGCGTTTTGACATAATCTATCCTCATTTTTGTCAGTTTTAATACCAACACTCTAAGAGCCATTTATTACCACAAATTTATTTTATTTATATTTAAGCCCTTTAGTATAGGTATATATATATATATATATATATATATATATATATATATATATATATATATATATATATATATATACCTATGGTAAAGGGCTTAGATACTCAGTTTATGGTAAAAAATAGCTCTTAGCTTATTTGTGGAATCAAAGTTGACAAAATTATGGATACATTATGTCAAAACGCATTAATATAATTGCAGGAAGTAATTAAAGCACAAAACCACAAATTAAAAGTCTAGAATGTTTTTAAAAACATTTTAAATGTTTTAAAAAACATTTTGAATGTTTTTTTGTTTTGTTTTTTTAAATAAAGATACTCTGAATGTTTTTATTTTTTTTTTCAACTGTAAAACATGCATGGAGTTTTGCAACATCGACTATCTTTTAATCTGACTCGCAATGGAGTGCTGCTACATCAACTGACAAATAGCCTGACTCGCAACGGAGTGCTGCTACATTGACTGACAAATAGTTTTTATTTAAGAGATTATTATTAAAGAAATTTGGAATTTTGAAGAATAGAACTTTAAGAATAGAATGTATAATAGAACTTATATATAAATTAAAGGACAGTAAAAGGGTTTTAAGCATAGCACTGTTTAATTGTTTTCCATTTACCAACTCAGTTTAAATTTTCATTTTTTATTTTCCAAATTTCCTTTGTCAGTGTCATTTTTGTACCGGTTAGCATATGTAACTTTAAATGGTATTTCCCTTATATGTAGAATTTATTGATAGAAGTGAGACCAGGATGATCGGAACTTACATTAGCTTGGTATACATCATTTTTTGTTAAGCATTATTTAATAAAGAGCAGGTATTCTTATTAAAGCAGTTCTAGTTGGTTTAAGGCGAAATTTTTTTGTTATTTATAATGTGACAATTGTGTGAATTTAAAATAGATTTCATATTAGGCATACAGTTATAACCCGGTGGGGAATGAGCTAGCGACTAGCTAGTTTTCAAGCGATTTTCAAGCGACTTATTTTTCTTATTTTATTCTTTACTAATGTCTCTAAGATCTTTAAAAATTCGATTTTTAGTGTTGAGTCTATTATAATTATGAGAATAATTGAACTTTAAACATTGCAATTTTGTAGCAATGTGTCGCTAGCTACATATTGTAGCTTTATAGCTAGCTACAAAATATCTACAAATCTATAGCTGATTGATAGCTACATACCAAAATTTTTTTGAAAGCAATTTTATTACGATATGACGGTAGCTACAATAGCCTGTGAGTCTTTAGCTTATTAAGCTAGCTGTCCTCGTAGCCAAATCGCTGTCTTTATCTTTATAAATATTGATAGCTTTTCCCTAACTTAAGGGGTATATTATATTCAATAATATGCCCCTTATTTCACTATCTTCAAGATTAAATATTTCAATTCTGCAAAAATTTTGTATTTTTCTAGATTATTGTCTTTGGTCTTGTTCAAGCCGCTAATACTTTTTTTTGTTTCTAGTAAACATGACAAGGATAGCCTTGCTTTACTCAAAATTTTTTTGCTCAGAATTTTTATTTCACTTAAATGCAAGTTTCCGGTCACTTAAACTTTTAATAGTTTTTTACCTATAATAACTGATATTAAATTTTAAAACTGTTTATAAGTCATAAAATAATTTGATTAAGATATGCTAATGTGTTAAATAAACTTGTAATAATTAATATTGAATTTTAAAATTGTTTATAAGCCATAAAATAATTCAATTAAGATGTGCTAATGCGTTTTTAATATTGTATTGCAAAATTTATGTTTTTTTCGTATTTGTATTATAAATATGCTCGAACATACTTAGTAAAAAATTTGTAAATAAAATTTAACTGTTCTTTCATCATCAAAGCATAATTTTGTTAAATTCAATATAATATATTGGATTAATAAATAAATTTAGTAAATACTTTATATAGCTGAATTAAATTTGATATTATTTTTTAATTTCTAGTTTATAAATGTGCCTTTTTATTATTTTTAGATTAAAATTTCAGAAAATAATATAAAATGTCAAAGAAATGTAATTTATCACTAGAAACATGTTCTTCTGTTATTGCTAAGGCAAATTTAAATGATGGTCATTCTACTACAAATTAAATGATGGTCATTCTACTAGATATATTCAAAAACTGTTGAAAATACCGCGATCAACAGTGAGTGATACTATTCGTCAGTTTAAATGTACAAATAAAGATAGGATAAGAACTGAACGTCCCTGCAAAACATCTAAGGCTGGAGACAAGTCAATTATACTCTCATGTAAACAAAATATTTTAGAAAGAACTGTAAGACGTCGCTTGAAAGCTGTTGGCTTAAATGGTAGAATAGCTGTTCGAAAACCTCTTCTAAAAGCAATAAATCGGAAAAAAAGACTGGGCTCTAACACATTAAAGTTGGACAGATATAAACTGGTAAAATGTATTGTGGATGGACGAATCTAAATTTCTTGTTTTTAGAACAAAGCGACAGATTTATGTGCAACAAACAGCAACTGAAAAATTTCATCCACAGTGTATACAGCGTACTGTCAAACATGGTAGAGGTTCAATAATGGTTTGGAGCTGTTTTGCTTCTAGTCTGGTTGGTAATCTGTTGAAAATAAATGGAATTCTCGATAAGAACAGGTATCATAAGATATTATGTAGACATGCCATGCCTTGTGGAAAGCGTCTAATTGACCACAGGTTCACCATACAACAGGATAATGAACCAAAACACACATCTAAATACTGTACAAACTATTTTCAAAAAAAGGAACCTCATGGAGAACTCAAAGTTATGACATGGCCCACACAATACCCTGATCTCAACCCAATGGAGTTACTCTGGGAACAACTGGATCGTAAGGTAAGAAAAAAGTGTCCTACATCAACAACTCATTTGTGGTCAATTTTTCAACAAGCGTGGAATAATACTTCTCTAATTTATTTGGATAATTTAATCAAACGTATGCCAAAACTTGTTTATAAGTTTTGGCATACTTGCAGTAAGGAAAGCAAAGGATTGATTGTGTTGTATTGCATAAACTTGTTTATTTTTATCATATGTTTAACGACGTTGATTAATTTGTATTTATTTGTAATTATATTTGGTTAATTAGAGTTAGTTAACTTGTTTTTTATATATTTCTTTACAAAAAACAGAGTGACCGGAAACTTTTGCTGGGCAGTGTATGTATGTATGTATGTATGTATGTATGTATGTATGTATGTATGTATGTATGTATGTGTATATATATATATATATATATATATATATATATATATATATATATATATATATATATATATATATATATATATATATATATATATATGAATTATAAACAGCGTTTCATTTAAATTATAGCATTATATTCCTACACAACACATTAATGTAGAATACTAGTGATTGAACACTCTCAACAAAAGGTATGATGTTCAAACATGCCTTATGTCTTTGAAGCACTATTCTCAACCTGATTCGAATAAATGGCCTTGTTTTACAAAATTTTTAATAAAAACAAACAATATGGAATTTAAAACTTGACCTCTTTGATCACAGACAAATATTTATAAATAATGGATTACTTTTAATTAATATAAATTAAAAAAAACTTTTCAAAAATTCATTTTTAAATTTATAATAGACAGTTATATATAGTAAAAAAAAAATTAAAGTACTTATTCAATGCATTACACTAAGTAAAGGATATTATTTACTACATAGCAACAACCATTACCTCATCCAATGAATAAATTTCTTTTTGGCATAGTTGACCACCTAGCTCAATAAATCTAAAAAAAAAAAATCATTCTTTGCAAAAATATATATTTTAAAATTGGCAAATATATTTTTTGAATTGGAAAAATCACTTTTAGTGGGTGATAAACAATGTTTGCAAAAAACAATATACATGCAAAAATTAAAATCAAACAACTTTGTTTAAAAAAACAACAACTTTTTAGAAATCTTTAATAGTGAAAAAGAAGGATAAAAATTACATAGTATCACAGCTTTTCAATGTGCCACTATGCTAAACAGCTAAAACTTCTCTTAAACTAGGGAAACAAAACTTATCTTTGTAAAAATCTGTCTTTCCAAGAATACTAATTAATAAGAAGTTTATTTAGAATATCTGCGAGTGCAATATTGATTAACCTTAGGTCCAAGTGCTATGTATATCCTGGTATAAGTAAATACAAAGCTAAAAAAGAAAAGCACCTTTAAAATACTTTACAGAAATTGATGAATGATAATTAACACTGAACTTTAACCTACAATTCAAAGCTAGATATGAGTACTTTTATAGATTCTTGTTGGAGCTCTTCTGAATCTGAATAAAGGATTGGCTTTCCAAGTAAGTCTGAATGTAATTTCTGAACACTGGTGTGGTATTAAACTATCTTTGAACACCAGCAGGTACAAGTTATCTTTAAAAAGGTACAAAAAATCTGTAGAAATAGTATGGGTCAACTTTGAATTTACAATCTGTTGAATTGTTTTAAATGGTATTAAAAATCATTTATTATAAAATTCAATCATTATAGCACTGTACTATAATATACTGAGCTGACTGGCATGACAATTTGGAGTATATGACTCAGTTATAAAAAAGGCATAAAAAAAAACACTAGTAAAAACAATTTTTTATAAATTTATGAAAAATCTCACTAGACAATCTAATAGCACAAACAAACTATAAATTATGTTAATTAATTACTATAAAAATACCAAAAAATAAAAATATATACTTTTTTGTAAGATATGGTAAATACTTTGTTCCCTCAATGAACACTGATGTGAAAGATGCAGCAGATCTACAATTATGTACACTTATGTTAAAACATAAATCACAGACATTAAAGATATTTATGCCTAAAATTATTTAAAACATTAAAAATATCTGTCAAGATTATTTAAAAACATTAAAGATATGTCAGACTTCAAAATTAGAAGAAATCTAAATCAGATTAAAATATACTTAAAAAAATAAAAGTATAAAAAAAAAATCTAAAACGTTTATAAATATAAGAATTTTTTGGATTTCAAAAAAACTTGATAATAATAAATAATTACCTTTTTTTAATCAACAAATAATTGATATAATTACAGTCAGCAATTCAAAAAAAAACATTATTTACATTAAGAAACTTATTATCAACATCTTGTTTAAGTTTTTTTATTAAAAATAAATTGTTTTTTTTTCTTGGATCAAGTCTCTCTAATGGAGCAACATGGGGATATTTATAAACTTGCACAGAATTTACAATAGGCTGAATAAGCGCAAATTGGCATAAGTGCCAACTGGCATACATGCAAAGCGTTGCAAAAACTGGAATAAATGCAAACTTATTATATGGCATATGCGTGAATTGGTATAAGTGCGCCAAAAGAATTTGAAAACATTGGCACAAGTGCGAATTGACATAAATACCAACTGGCATAAGTGCGAAGCAGAAAACTGGCACAAGTGCAAACTGACATAAGTGCGCCAAACAAATTTGCAAACATTGGCATAAGTGCAAACTGACATAAAGGCAAAGCAGTTACAGAAACTGGCATAAGTGCACCAAATAAATTTACAAACATTGGCATAAGTGCAAATTGACATTAGTGCAAACTAGCATAAGTGCAAAGCAGTTGCAAAAACTGGCATAAGTGCAAACTGCCATAAGTGTGAATTGGCATAAAAGCAAAATAACTTTTGCACTTATGCTAATATTTGCTATTTTATTCGGCACACTTATGCCAGTTTCTGTAACTGCTTTGCACTTATGCCAATTTTTGTAAATTTATTTGACGCACTTATGCCAATTCGCACTTATGCCAGTTCGAACTTGCGCCAGTTTTGCAACTGCTTTGCACTTATGCCAGTTCGCACTTATGACAGTTCACACTTATGCCAATGTTTGTAAATTCTTTTGGGGCACTTATCCCAATTTGCACTTAAGCCAGTTCACACTTGTGCCAGTTTTTTTAACTGCTTCGCACTTATGCCAGTTAGCACTTATGCAATTCTCATATATGCCAGTTTGCATTTACGCCATACGCAATTATGCCAGTTTGCACTTATGAAATTTGCGCTTATTCAGTCGTCCCCAGAATTTAGAATATTGAATATCTACAAAATGTATATAAAAAAATTAAAAAAATTAAAAGATAAATCTTTAAATATTAAAGGAAATAATGATTATAAACATCTTGAACTAAGATTAGCTTTTAAATTTTATAAAATTCAGAGAATCATTCTGAAGAAAGGTTTTTTAAATTAGTGTTAAATATTTGCACTCAAGTTAAAGTCAAGAAAGTTTCATTCAATTTAATTCTCAAGTCAAGTCCAACAAAAACCTTGGCATTGTAGGACTACTACAGCTTAAATCAGAAGTTAATAGCATCATTAACTAGGACGTCAACTCTGATGTTCTTAACTCATGATTCAGGCAGTTAACAAATCTTAATGTACATTTGAATTTAATTTAATCTCATTTCATAGTTAAAATGCAAACTACGCTAATAAATTAAATGGGCAAAAATAGTATTCTAATCTATTACTTTATTAAAAATAGTATTCTAAAACTAATAATTTTAATAATAATTAATATATTGAAATTTTTACTTCCTGCAGCAGATTCTACTGCTGTAATCACTGCAGGCGAGAATTTCTGTCGTTTTTTTTTTTTGACAAACATAGGTTTAAAATCAGATCACTTGATTTATTTTTGATATTCTTATGATTTTTATCAAAGCATTTTAACCAAAATAACTTTAATTTATCTAATAGTGCAAAAATAAACTTAAAAAATATTTGAATAAAAAATAGCATTTTTTAAAAATGTTAATGCCATTCGAATAATTTTATTTAATTTTAATACACATTTTTATGATCCATATACAAAAGTTGGGTTTTTATGATCCATATAACTGACGATTGTTTTTGGTATTATTAACATTATAAACATTGTATTAAAGTATATTAGAAATACTTAAGACCAGTGCAACATAATATAATATATGACTATTTAATAAAGAAAATTTAAACTAAGTAAAAACTCAGGAAGGCTTGTCTTGTAAATTTTTCATCCTTGTATATATTGTTGATATTCAATGTTAATTCAGAAAATGTGTTTCCCTTTCAAGTGTCAAGTTTCAAGTGTTCCCTTTCAAAATGTCCCTTTTGTCTCTTTCAATTTTTGTACTTTTTGAATTTGGTATTCAGGGATGTTGAAGTGCTCTACTGGAGCACTAGAGGAAGGCAATACCAACACACTGAAAGTTAGTTGATACAGTGAAAGAGTCTCCATGTTTATTGCTTGAAACAAAAAAGAATTATTTACTTCATAGGTGTCGAGGTTATGACTTAGTTCTAGTGCTGGAGTAATGCCAATATATGCCTTTCTTTTGTCTCCTGTAAATGCTGAACAAAGAACTTCCTTTTCCCAACCAAAAACCCTTAGTCAATGTGGGTTTTGGTTTAGGTAGATAAAAACTAAAGTAATAATAAACTAATAATTTAAATTCTTAATAAAAAAATTAAACAAATAAAATTAAATTTAAATTAATAATAAAAAAATCAGTTTATTATAAGGTTTTAATAGCATAAAAACCAGGCTGCCTATCTTTAAAAAAAAATTTGAATAAAGTTGCTCTATGAATTAAAAAAAAAAACAATAGAAAATTTTTAATTTTAAACTTTTACTTTACAGTCCCACTACTGTTAATATTGTACAGTAAATATGGCTAAAATAGAATGTAAATAAACTCAACTTGATATTGCAGAAGATTTTTACTACATTTCAAGATGTTCACTACATTTCCCTCTCAAGTTTTGGAGCTTAAATATAAGACTTGTGATTTGACTTGGATTTTATTGGCATCAAAATTGAAGTCAAATTCCAAACCTTTTCTTATTTTGTCAAGTCAAATCTAAAATCTCTAAATTGATGTCTTATTGTCACATCCACAGCTCTGGTTGAGGCAAGGTAAAAATGACTCAGTTGGATGAAGAATTATAGTATAATATAAGCTAGAGTTGTGCACCTACTTAATCCATGATGGAAATCTTCTTGCCACATCGCGCTCATTCAATAAATGATAATCCAATGGAATGCTCGACCAATAGGGAAGCTATGAAAATGATTAGAGACTTTTCATATTTGCAAAGTAAAAATAAATATAAAAATAAACATACATTAAGTATAATAAAATTTTATTATTATTTATTATTTACTTATTAAATCAACAAAAGCTGCAATTATTTCATGTAAAAAAGTCAAGGAAGCTACTAAATATTTTTATAACTTTTTATTTTATTTTTGACTCTCTCAACCTTTAACAGCAAAATATAAGCCTTGCTTAATAATTCTGTTGCAGAGAGAAACATGTTGATCGCATAAAATCTAAAATTTTTGTACAATCTTTGTTACAGCAAACTAGATAAACATGCTGAAAAATCAAATTTCTCTAAATAAAAACTATTTTACATACATACATATACTCTTTATTTACAATAAAACACATGTTATTTTTGAATAGTATTTAATTGTTACTGTAAAAGCTAAAAAACAACAATAAAACAAACTGCAAAGTTGTTTTAACAATGTAAAGAGCTTGTGTTAATGTAAAACAACTTTATGACCTCTAATAAACAAAAACATTACTTTTAAGAATTGCCAAAATTAAAAAAGAAGAAAAATTAACTAAATTAAAAAAGAAAAAAAATTAACAAAAAAAAAAAAAACAAACAAAATTAAAACAAATTAATAAACAAAATGTTCAAATAGATTTCTTTTTAAATAAAATTTTTAAAAACAAGTGTATTAATAGAAAATGTTTGATCTTGATATTGCTTTAAATAATATATAAAAAAATGGTATCACGTTTTTTCTAATCGAAATTTCTTCTTAAAATGATTTTTAGTTAGAAGTTTATATTATGTGTTAACAACATATAAGATATAAATAAAATCATTTATATGGTTATTTTTTGTGATTCCTTAATAAAGCCTAATTCTAATAAAAGGGTGGCCACACAAAATTTTCATAAAAAAAAAGAGAATATTAGAGGATTTTAGAGGAGATTTTGCATCAAATATAAAGGATTTTTAATCGCGAAACTATACAATTTTTAATAAAAATAGAGGGTTTTAGAGAAGATTTTTATATAGGTTTAACATCCATGTTTCATTACTTGGGTGGCTCTGAATGACTTTTATAATGCGATTTATTAAGTTAAATAACTTAGATTGCTAAGGCAATTTTTACAACCCAACCCATGCCTTCCTGGCATTAACCAGTTTTGCAGACCAGGGTATTCATAACATTATACTAAAATCAATAAATGAAATTTGATTACATGAAATAATAAAAATTTATGTCTTTTTTATTAATGAAATCGTTCCCTAACTTCTATCAGCTTCGCTTTTTTGCATTTCAATTCACAGAGAATACTCTCTTTGTCAATTGCAGCTCTTCAAGGCATTACATTTGGATAAGATAGTTATATAATTCTTTTTTTCTGCCTCAAATGCAAAGTTATCTTTTTGAAGGTGGATGATAGTTTTTTCCAACCTTAATATTTATTTTGTGAATTTCTAAAGCAATCTCAATCTCTTTTTCATTCTTCTCCTTCTCCTCAATTTCATTTTAGATTTATGAACAAGCAATTGTTGATATTTTTGATGAGAAGGTTTCACATACGAAAACAAATTCTTTGACACAGGAAAAGTGAGTTCAAAATTTTTTGTTTCTTGTAGTCCAATATTAATCATTGAGAAATAAGACTTTCCATGTCAAGATTTTCAACAAGAAGCATTTTGTTTTCAGTAAATCCTCGCTCAACAGTTGCCTGACTGTGAGATAGAACTAAAACAATTTGGGCAACAGACCAAAGGGATTTATAGTTAGGATCTGAAACAATGTGCTTCCAGAGAAATCCAACCGATCTTTAGATTCTTCAAATTCTTTGAATAGCTCTGTATTAGCCTTAACAAAATTTGACAAAAATTTTGAATACTCTTGTTTGGTTTTCATTGCAGTTTCAGAAGTCAGTTTTTTCAAACCAACAAGGATTTCAAGCATTTTGTCTGATAAAGCTGTTGATAGCTCTGGCGGTTCCAACATAACTTTAGGATGCAAACAAGAAGTACTTCTAACAAGATTATTTTTTAATATACTTTTTTCTGTAAAATGCGCACATTAACTAAACAAGAAGCGCCATACTGAAGATTGCGTAAATGACTATTGCTCAACTTTCCATTTTCTTTCAAAACTCTTATGTTTCATGTTTTATAGCAAAACCAAGATCAACAGACTCTAATAACACTTGATTAACTTTATCAGTAAAGTTTACTTTGAACAGCTAAATTACAAAATTTGCTTTTCAAAAGCATCCTTCCTCAAAAAGCAGCTGCATAAATTACAAAGGACATTGTCTAGTGACTCGGTAAGAAATGGCACCATTGGATTGTCAGTTTGAAGAAATCATTTAATGATGTTGTGATTCCTCAAAAAATCTAAGTTTCATTGGTGTAGTGACATCTTCCACAGCTTTAGCAAGAAAGTCAAAACTGGTGTTTTGTCTAGGCTATTCGTTTCCAGGTTGCTTCAATTTTGGTAAGCTTTTCCAAAACTTTACAAATTAAATTATATTAGGCCAAATCCTTTGGGCACGTTTGGAAACAATATTATTTTCAATCCATCTGTGTGCACAGAATTTAAGAGAGTAATTGGAAAAAGTAGCAGCTGTTAGACATTTATAGTCAGCTCGACGAGGAGACTCATCAAATATTTCATACAGAGAAAAAAGTAGTTTCTTAATATTCCAGTCAGTAGCCTTTTCCCCAATTTGGAAAGAACGATGAAGGGTATAGAGACTACATGTTCCGATATTAATCGAAGGATCAAGTAAAACTTCTTTTGTGCTCTCATTTACCAGATTTAAAAAAATGTACAGCCCGTCAATTTTACAGGCTAAATTATCAGCCCGTCAGAAGATGCTTAGAGGACTTTACTACAATCCAAAGAACTTAAACAATTATTATATTTAAAAAAAAACATCACCAGCAGATGCTTTACCTAAGAACTCCAATAAGATGTTTTTACTTCATTTTCTGTGTCATCCTAAAAACAAACATGTAGATCCATTTGACTTTTTTTAGAAATTTTGTTATAAGATTCATCAAATAATGTTGTATAATAAGGAACTTTGTTCAATTGGTTTAGCATTGTTTCTTTAACAAAAGGGGCAACACCGTGAGAAAATGTAACTGCATTTTATTTTTTCACAAGTGAAACTTTGAGCAATTTGACTGTCTGGAAACATGAAGCAAAACAGCTTACTTTTTGATTCTGAAGAACGATAAGAATACATACATTTCAAAACTTCTAGTGATCAAATTGCCTCTGCATTTAATATCTGATCTCTTGACATCATATCAATTAAATTTGTTTGCTTTTGAGCTGCTTTTTGTTCTGGTAGATTAGTTCCTTCAGATAACCTTAAAACTTATCTTACTGCTATTAGATAGACATCTTTCCGCATGTTTCTTCCCTTTAACATGCTGCTTTATATTTTCTATTTCACTGTTTGCAATGCCTAAGGACTTTCAAGAAACTTTACAAAATGCACTTGTTTCATCTTTTTTATCTTTTTGCAACCAGCATTTGAACTTCTCTCCAATGAGCCACAAGTCTTGAAATTTAGTTTTATACTTAGGCATTATTTATACTTTTCTAAACAAAACAAATAAATTCTTTAAGGTAGACATACTAGAAAATAACTTCAAATCAAATGACACTTATATCATTTAAATAACATAACATTTATTTTATAACATTTAAAGAGTTTATATCTGTGTTCTACACAGATTTAAACTCTTTAAAATTGTTGTAAGAATAAAAAAACAAAAACAAAAATGTATTACTGTAACTAATATAATTGTTAATACTGTAACTAAAATAAAAATCTGTTAATTGAAACAATACAACATTATTTTTCAATAAAAATATATTTACTTTTAACATTTCTAAAAAGTGAGTAAATTTCAAATTTCAAAAAAAAAAAAAAAAGAAAAAAAGAAAAAAAAGAGGAGTTATAGAGGAGAATTAAAATCAACTTTTTAAAGGATAATAGAGGACTTTAGAGGAGATTTAAAAAAAAAGAGGACTTTAGAGGATTTTAGAGGAACTGTGGCCACCCTGAATAACATAAAGTTTTAATAAACTAATATACTGTTACTAAAAAATAGTTAATATATTCATATTATTTTAATGGCTATCAACTTGATCCAATCAAGTATAATCAAATGCATCTAATTATGAAATATTTTAAAATGAAACAAGTTGATTTTAGAAAATGCCACTAGACAAAAATTGTTGCACTAATTCACTGAGAACAGGTATTGGTACATTTGGTAATGTATCAAAGGCTACAAAGAAGACAATTTTATTTGCTTCTTTACAGAGCTTTGCCTCCAATAGGCTTCCTACAAATGAAGAAATGTTCAAAACTTGAATAACTATTTGGACAGTTACTTTTCAAGCACAGATAGTTATAATCAAACTGAATGCAACCAGACTACATTCACCTCCAGCTAAAGTCCAAAATAAACAGAAAAGATTTTAGAGTGACATCAAAGTTTGCCTTCAGTTAAGTATGAAAGACATTCTTCAAAAATAAATTTTAATTATGACCAGATTTGGGATTGAAATCAGACTGGGTAAATATTTTTTGTCTTCTCTTTACAAGGTTGGTAGAATTGACATTGATAATATCTCAATATCAAGATCAACTCTAAATAGGAAAATACATACTGTTGTGGAGTCTGTGACACAAATAATCAGAGAAAAAAACTTAGATGTAATGAGGTTTAAAATTTGTAGCACATTTTGATATAAAGATTTTGAAAAGATACCATTAGGAAAAAAAAAATATCTAAGAGGATAGAATATCTATGAGAATAGATTTGCTATTTGCAAATTTTCCAAGGTCTAGTCAAATAGACTTCTGTCTTGTTAACTTAAAAATTGAAAGCTCCAAGGGAAGTGATAGAATCATTGCAATTCAAACAATGCTTGAATACTATGACATCCAAGGGAAAAAAGTTCTAAAGAATTTCTATAAATATTTGAAACATATGGCCTATAGAAATTCTTTTACTATTTTTTTTTCTAAAGAAAAAAAAATAGTAAAAGTATTTCTATAGAAATTTCTATTGAAAATAACAGAGATTCTATAGATATTCTATAGAATTTCTAAAGGCCATATGCTTTAAAAGTTTATAGAAATTCTATAGAACTTTTTTTCCTGGGATGTCCTATTGGATTGTGTTCTGACACAAGGTCCAGTAACAATTGCAAAAATAAAGATGCTATAGGCATTATTATTTCCTATGCCCTAAGTAGACTGATTCTTTGGAAATGTGCAGACATCACCTCTATGAAAGGCATGTGATTCATGTGATACAAGAAATTTTCTACCAAACAAGTGGTCCCAGCAAGAAGCTTTATGTAACTCTTCAAAAAGGTTCTCTATGGTTCTTTACTCATGAGTCATACTTGGTATTTGTCCCTACCACAAGTAACTTTTGCTCTTGCCAATCTCTTTGTTTTCAATGCTAGAACAATTGCTATAAACGACTCTGCTGAATGCCACATTAATTCAAAACTTCATTGAGAGAACACACAGCAATGACAGGCTTCTGGATACTTTTCAGGTAATTGACTAATTAATACAAATATAAAAGGCATTTTTTAGTAATTACTAATAATTATGGTTGTTAATGTATAAGTATAAATAAATTAAAGTATGTATAAATAATTTTTTTATAAATTTATGTATTGGGTCAAATCGTTATATTTTAACCAATGGCTTGTGGGTCACCATCTCTAATTTTTACATATTATTATATGTATTATGTAGATAAATTAAATTTGAAATTTCAGACATTCAAATAAAACGGTTCAGAAATTATAGCCTTAGAAACATGACACAGTGGCCCCCCTCAATTTAGAAATAGTCAAAACAGACTACTTTAGAGCTGTATAACTTTTTTCTCACTTTCAACAAGTGTCTCATTTTTTCTAAACTATTTTCTGGATATTTCTCTCTTTAAAAAAGTGGTTTTTATTCACTTATATTAAATTAAAAAAAAAAAAACCTCCTTAACTTTAAAAAAAATCCTAAAATTGCTTAAGTAAGCCAAAATGAAACTAACTGTATCATTTTTCTATTCATCCACAAGTCTTTACAGATAAGTTTTTTGATTAGCTACTACTGTCTGTAATAAATAAGCCAAATACAGGCAGATAGTTGAAGTTTAGAACTCAACTATATCTAAAAGCAAAATGTCTAAACGCCTAAAAAGTCCAATTTTCAGCCATTTTGAAAATCTATGTGTACATTTTGTTTTGATCTAAGATTAACAGCATATAAAACCAACTATCTAAAAAGACAAACATTATAAACTTGTCAAATTCACATAAAAAATGCCAGCATTTTGAAATAACCTTACTTCAATTATTAACGGTTGAATGTGTTATTAGAAACCAATGCCCCTCTAATCTGCCTACTGGCCTATGCAAGGGGTGCAACTAATTATAAGTAATTTCTTAATAAAAAGAAAGGATGGTTAGTTGCCCTCTCCTTGATCTGGTCTTTATAGTAGATAGGGATGCAAATAAAAAAGCATTAATTTTTTAGAGACCTTTATTTTGGTTCAAATGAAGGTCTCTAGATTAATTTAGATATTTAGATACTTATTTCTTTAAATTCTATTGTATTATAGGTGATTAGTGGTCTGTATTTGGTCTGGTCAGTAGTCACACCCCCACCCCACCCCTAAAGTGGGGGTGGGGTGGCACTAATCTAAGAGGTGGAGAGGGACAACAACCAACTTTTAGTAATTTAATTAACTTTTGTTAATGCCTTTTAAAGACTATAACATCATATATTTGCTGGACAATCTGGTCACACACAATGTTAGTTGTGTGTGACCACAGTCAATGTTGGTCACTATCAAAGTTTGAACCTTTTAATATAAGGATGAAAAAATGCAATAAGATCTAATGGCCTTAACTGTATATTCATATACAGTTAAGGTCATTAACTGTATATGAATATACAGTTAATGGCCTTAAAATGAATCATGTATGTTCTATGTTAGAAAATGAAAGCATGTACCTTTTTTAAGTTTGTTGCGCTCCCCACTCCCCACACCCTTAGATTGCTCTCCACTGCTCATATTCTCTTGAAAATTTGATTTGACATGGTTTGACCCTAATGCGCAGATACAAGTGATTAGTAATTAAAGTAATACTTAGTAAATTGGGAAATAAAAACTTTTTAAATGTTTATTAATACAAGATAGCAATAATGTACAAACATAATGGTAGTTGTTTTGTTTGAGTTTGAAAATAAACAGTCAAATTACTCAGGTTTAAAAGAAACTGGTTTAAAAATTGTTTGAGTTTAAAAGAGAACTTGATTTAACTATTAAGTTACATAATCTAAAAAAAAAAGTTTTTAAAATAAAGAACAAAAATTTACCTGAAAGTCACTGCTAGTACTACAATTATACCCAAGACATGTCATCAAACCATAATTTCCAGAATCAGGATCAGTTCGTATTTTATCAAGCACATAATCGTAAGTTGATTGAGACCACTTCCTGTTAATTATAAATAAGTTTAATAAAATATTAAAGATTGAATGCTTACAAAAGATCTTTTTAATTTAAAAGTAGATATTTCAAGTATCATATTAGTATTTCATAACACTACTAATACTATTTCATAATACTACTAAAATTCAAAAAATTTTAAAACTGACAAAGCTTGATCTCAATTAACTGCTTTAATATAATGGAATTATATTAAAAAAAAAAAAATTAGAATTTTATAGGATTGTGAGGAAAATGCTCCAAATAAATTTCCTTTATGGGTGTAAGTCTGATTGTGTTATTTAATCAAGTAAATCCAAATTCACAGAGAAACTCGCATTTAATGCTATGCTTGCTCAATCCCAGCAATTATTTTGCAAAATTAAATTTATGGTAATCTAAGTTACGAAAAGCAGCCTAAAACTGTTCAATTTAAAAATGTATTTAATATGGGAAAAAAGAATATTTATGTTCTTCACGTGATAATTTAAAACGCTGTTAGAAAATGATCTCAGAAAGTTTAGAAGCAGGTAAATAATTCTGTTTGCCATGATATTGCCATAGTCAATTTGAGTATAATTAAGTTTAAATAACTTATGGATACAATATCATTACTTGTTTGGTAATCAGGGTTCAAGTCCTCAAGTATACAATATTTTCATGGTTTTAATGATTTTTTAAAGTTATTTTCATAATATTTGATTCATATTTATTTTTATTTTTTGATCAATTGTGATTTGAACACAATAGACGAATGTAAGTAAACATAATTTTGAAAGAATTCTGTAATTCAACAGGTTTCTGTTGTCAAGTTACAGTTTTAAGATAATCTAAATCATTTTGAAAAAAATGTTAGACTTTACATGAGTTGGTATAAATATTTTTAAAAAATCTGTAAAAAATAGATAAAATTTAATTATTAATAATATAATGAGGTACAAAAGTGTACACAAGTGTACAGAAAGTCTCATAAGCCTTGCTGACACTTTTTTATACTTTTACAAAAACTTACAGGTGGAGACTAGTACTTCTGCTAAAATTTATAAACAAAATATCGCATATATCTTCTGTTTTTACAATGAATAAGAATTTGTTCAAAGCACTAATTGATAAATACAGTTTGAATAACTTTATAAGAAAAATGTTGTTAATACTTTGTAAACAAAGACATTTCCTAGCATTAAGAAAGTTTTGATGGCTCTTACAATAATGAAGTGTGAATTAGATGGTATTAAAAAAATTTAGATGGCTATTGATCTATTAATATGTAACTAATTAAAGTCTACTACAATAATACTCATTTGGATGCTTTAGAAAACCTTTGTAACAATATCATCTTTGGTTATGGCTTCAAAATAAACTTATTCTCTTGAACAGGCAATATAATAAACAAACATGCAAAAACAAAGTGTTTTAAGTAAAACAACCTAAATTAAAACCTATTATTTCTCATATCATCCAGGAGTTAATCTGGCTAATGGTTAATTTTTTTAAATATAGGAACATACCTATTTTACAATCAAATAAGTTGGTAAGAATTACCAAAAAAGAACAGCTTTAAATCAAGAAGTTCACATCCTTTTGTAATGATATTGCAAATATGGCTAGAGGGGACATTGAACCTATGATCTCTCAATACTGAAATAATTATTTGAACCACTGCATCATGGCTGCTCTACGTAAGGGACGTAGCGTGTAAAGAATGGTGATATGGGGTAAATTTTTTCAAAGGAGTTTCATTCCAGGAGTGTTGTTCTGAAAAGAAATGTAACAGAATACTCCAGAAAAATATAATGAATTTATATTAGTTACATCATCCTCCTTTCCTTACCTGGAAATTGCATCTGTATTAAAGTAACTTTAATAAAGATGCAATTTCTATTTTAAGTTGATTATTATTATTGATATTATTTTTGTTATTGTTACTATTACTATTATTATTTCTATTTTAAGTTGACAATAATAATAATAACTATTATTATTGTTATTATTGTTATCATTGCTATTATTGTTATTATTATTGTTACTATTACTATTATTATTATTGAAGAACTTTTAAAATGTCAAGAGTTTTGAGCTAGCCTTAAAAAAAATATATAAGAAGATTTTTCAATGGTTTCTTATTTAGAAGCATAATGTATTTACACAAAAAGAGTAAGAATCTTCAAGTTAAAGTATATATCTTTCTATAAATCCTATGTAATAAAACAGCACAAAAAGTCTTTTATTGTGTTGTTTTATTACATAGCTTTGTATGTTGTAAGTGAATATAAATTGTATAAACTACTTACGAAACAAGTTCTATAGATGTCTCACCAGGTATATATGGTTCCCATAAACCTGCAGCTCCATCACTAGTCAAATTAGGACTAAAGTCTTTTGCATATACTACTACATCAATTTCAGGAATTGTTTTTTTTAAATGATATGCAGTTGACAAGCCCATAATTCCTGCACCTGCAACAATTACTTTAACCATATTTTAATTTATGAGGCTAAAGAAAAACATATTTGCAAGTCAAAATTTTGAATTAAAAAATATCTTGTTTAAATTTACCAACTGTTTTAAGTTGGTCATTTTAAAATTTAATTTTTTTTTGGAAGACTACTTCGAATAGGAAGTATTGGAGTTAGTCTTCTAGCATTAGATTAACTGTTATGTTTCCTATGCAAATTAACTCAAGAAAATTAAAAAAAAAATTGGATTCGGCAAATCAAATTGTTTTCTCCTTAGTAAAGTTAAGACACAACATTAAATTTGACAAATTATCATTTGTATTTGGCTTTGAAAAAACTGATGCACTGGATAACTTTTGGAAATAGATTGACATTATGTGGGTTAAATTAAAATTTTTAATAAAAATGCAAGATGAAAAATGACATAAGAACATATTGACTGAACATTCAGAGAAAATTTCAAAGATATGACACAATTATTTTATGAGATATTTTGTTTGAAGTCAGAAAAACACATCTTTGAAAAAAATGCAAAACAAAAAAATATTCATAAAAAGAATTATTTAAAGTTTAACATCCACCAGGAAGATAAGGATCTGTTCTTTTTCATTTTGAAAGTCTAATAATTCTTTTTTAATCTTCCTGATTGTCTTTCTTTACTTTTAGCCATCATCTGATGCTTTCTTTTTTGACATATAAATACTTATTCTATATTTATGAACTAAACCATTTTGAAAACATATATCGCCACTAATATTAAAGTGATTAAAAACTTTGTGTAAAGCATTAGTGCTATCATTGAACTAAACAGTAGTAGCCATTCAAGACCATTTTTTTTCAATATATTTATATATAATTAACATAGTTGTATAGAGCTTAAAAGGACTCCGAAAATGGGGTCTTTCAACTTTAGAATTTAATTGGATCAAAGGTTATTGGATTTTTTGTGCTGGAAAAACTGATTTTTTGAAAAAATTTCTTGTCCTTAAGTATGAAAAAATTTGGCATGAAATGGCATTGAAATGAAATAATTAACACCAAAAATTAAGTGCAAAAATCAAAATAAACGATACGCAAAGGAATAAAAACATTATATACATAATTTCTAAACAAAATTCTTAAGTACCGTTTCTTCAAGAAACATAAATACTTGATTTGAATAGAGGAAAGGCTATACTAGCTTTTTTCACAGGGAGCCTTTTTAGAAAAAGTTTTTTTAAAAAAAATAAACCGACCTTAATGTTTTTAAACACTGAGAACTTAAAAATTATATATAAGTGTTAAAAAGGTGCCCCATTCCATTAAATTCCTTATCATTTTTTTAATATATATGTAAATTTTTTTAAACAAATTTGATGTGTTAACACTTAATAAAACATACCTTAATACTATTATTTACTTAATAATACTTAATTTTAATACTTAGGAAATCATATTTTCAAAAACTACTTTTGAAAATATGTCTTGTGGCAAGTTTTTTTTATCAATAGTGGTCTTAAGACATGAATAATATATAAAAGAAGCCATGTTAAACATAGTACTTTCTATATATGGTTGGAAAGAAGTTGAGTCAAACTAATTGATGTAAAAAACCTCAAGGTTCTAGCTTTATAATAAAAAAGATATAAGAAAGTAAAGTTCACGAAAATTACTTGTTTTTTGTCAAAAACCATATGTTTTTGATTCCCCTCTGGAATCGCTAACAATTGCAGAATAAACTTTAATTTCTATTACTTTTTGTTCAACAAAAATATTATTTGGGTATTTACTCCAAATTATTTGATTTTTATTTAAGTAACATGTTTGACAGTGAAGACAATTGGATAACAGCTCATCTTCCAATAGACTAATAAAAGTTAGCTTTATAATATCATGAATCATTTTGATATATTGATGTGACTAATAAAACTTTATTCTGTTGACTTGTTTTTTGTAAGCATAAACCAAATATGTTCCATAGTGTCACATTTCTAGAGTCACAATCAGAACATATGGTTGTCTGCTCTATGAACCTTTTAAACAATTGAAAGTCAATCAAAACTAAATCATTTTCATCAGTGGATGAAACTTGAGTGACAATTTTCACTTCTCTTAAATTTTTTTTTATATATACATAGTGTCTTTGTGTTCCAAACACACATTAAGTTTGTTTCAAAGTGTTACTCCTCTAGAGTGACATTCAGAGTTTCATAATGTCATGCCATGACACTATATACAAAAAGAATTATAGAAAAGACAGCCATATGTTCTAAATGTGACTCTAGAGCCATGACTCATGGCTCTAGAGTCACATATAGAACATATGGCTGTCTTTTCTATAAATCTTTTTAGCAATTGGAAATCAATAAAAATTAAATAATCGCTTTCATCAGTGGATGATACTTGAGTTGCAATTTTCACTTCTCTTAAAGTTTTTTTATTTGGAAAACTTGAAACAATTGTGAAATTAAACTTTTCTTAGCTGTGTGTTGATTATTTTTAAACTTATGTTTCTCTTTCTTTGATAATTGGATAGATTACCCATTAATTTCAAATAAATTAATAAAAAGAATAAACTAAATTTATTTTTAGTAAATCTTGTAGAACAAGGCAAGGATTCTAAGTACTCGATACTTCTCTTTTTTGACAATTGGATAGATTACCCTTTAATTTTATATTTATTAATAACAATGAACTTTATTTATTTCCATAAATCTTGTAGAACACGGCAAGGACTTTAACTACTCGATAATAAAACCGGCTAATATACAGGGTTGCCAGATATTTCACGATATGCGGTAGCCAGAAATATATAATTAAGTAGCCAGAAATATCCAAAAAGTAGCCAAATTTTCCGCGATGACATTGAAAACGTATATCTTATTGGCTATAATAAGACAATCGGATAAATTTGAACCAATGATAATTTAGATCATGTCAACATACCGTAAAAACTGTCGTTATATGTATTATATATTTCGTTTCATAACCGTAGTTATGAAAATAAAATATAAAAGCAAGTTAAGTTAACTAGTTAAATAAATAAAAACTTCTTTTTATGGATCCTTTAATAGTCGAAAAATTCTATTTGTAGATACTGTTCTTCTATTAAGCCCAAGTCATCTTTTAATAGGTGTAAAAACGGCAGTTCAGAAACATCGGGTCTTGATTCTTTACTTAAAATAATATCTGGATTCAAGTTTGATAAAATTTTAAATGTTTCCATTGATGATGGTAGTCTAGATGTTACTTGAGTATAAGCTTCATCTAACACGCACAATCATCTTTCTTTTAAATTTTTAATTTTCTTAATAGAGTCAATACTATGATTGCAAATTTGTAAATAAGAGTCACATTCTTTTATAAATTTAGCACCAAAGTCAACCTTATACATACTTTTCTTATTGCTGTTAAAATCATAAATTCTATGATTAAGGCTCATTTGAAACAAATTCATTTGTTTGTAAAGTTCACACGGATCAGCTTTTGTTTGCTGAAAGAGACTATTCATTCTTTCAAATTCCTGAACAACTGGTGTTATAAAGTGAAAAAATAAAAAATTTTCAACGTCTGACAACATTTATTTTAAAAGTCTTGCTTTGAATCTGGACCGAAAATTAGAAGGTGATAGTTCAGTACAAATAAAATAGGCTTTAAGCTCTTCCCAATTCATTAAAATATTAAACATCACTTTTCCGCGAGCAAGCCACCTTGTAAAGGAAGATTTTTCAAATGGTAAAGGGGCATATCGAGCTGTTTCAGATTCTGTAGCAGCATTTATTACATTAAACAAATCGATGTAATTTTTACGTCTTAATGAGCTATTACAAAACCAATGGGGTATTTCTGACAATAAAAATGCAATATTTGAAGGCAATTTAGACACTGCGTGTTCAATGCACAATGCTAATGAATGACAGATGCACTTAAGCTGAACACAGTTGGTGAAACATCTTTAATTTTTGTCCAAACAGAATTATTACATCCTGTCATGTTTGATGCACCATCTGTAGCAAATCCAATACAATTAGTAAGTAAGACCACATTTTTTTATTTCTTGATCAAGCAAGTGAAATATATTTTCTCCTGTAGTCTCATGGACTAGAATTAATCCCATAAATTTTGTTACAATTTCATTTTTTAAAACACTAAAAAAACAAGCTAAAATGCACAAATGTTTGTTTGCTAAAATGTCAGTAGACTCATCTATTATTAAGGCATATTTTTTGTTTTTAAAGTCCTCAACAACATCATCTCTCAATGAAGGAGAAATAATATTTTTTATCAATCCCATACACTTAGTTCTATGGATTTTTACATGTTCAAGTAAACTTCCACGTCCATAAACAACAAAAACTTCATTTAAGTGGTCAACAGTATGCACAGCATTGTGGCAAGTCATAGTTAAAGCGATGCGTAGTTCAGCTTTTTTTATATCTTCTGCTAAATTAATATCGGTAAAACTCTCAACTAATGGAGTACTTTGTTTGTGTTTTAAAGATTTGTTATGTTTGACAAGATTGGTCATTTTGGGCTTAATAATGCATTGACACCATTTACAATATGCTCTAAGGGTACCATCTTCAACCATTTGAAGCCATAAAAACTTTTGCTCCCATATAATAATAATAATAAGGTATAACTGTAACAACTGTTTTAAACAGTTGCGAAGTGCAATAACATAAGATATTGCACTGTAACAGCTCATTTTGTCTTTTGTTTGTGTTTTAACAAATAGTTTCTGCAAAATCCAGCTTTGTCTAGTTTGTTTTTGAAGTTATTTATTGAAGTAGCTTCTATTATTTCAGATTGTAAGCTGTTCCACGCATTTACAACTCGGTTTTGGAAAAAATGATACCTGAAGGTATTTCTGCTAAAAGGCTTCCTCATTTTGAATTTGTGTTGTCGCAGACATGGACCCTCCTCCAATGCATTTCCACAATCGTTAGCAACCCAATTTATTTTATCGTGGCCATGCTGAATTTTATATTGTTGAATCAGATCTCCACGTAGTCTACGTTCTTCCAGTGACATTAATTGCATAATATTCAACCTAGCCTCATATGATAATTTCCTAATTGTAGGTGCTAGTTTGGTTGCTCTTTTTTGGATTTTCTCAATCTTGTCAATGTCTTGTTATAAAAATGGAGACCATGCCTGGACCGCAAACTCAAGATGTGGACGTATGAACGTTGTATAGAGTATTTTTACCATGTTTACATCTAAATATTTAAAGCTTCTCTTTATGGTACCTAACATTCTGTTTGCTTTGCTGGTTGCTGAATCAACTTGTGAGTGCTATTTTAAATCAGGTTGAACCATTATACCCAAATCACGTTCAGCTTTTGTGTTACACAATGTATAATTGTAATTGCAATCAATATCAGTCATTATAAATGTAGCATTTGGATTTTTTTTCCCAATATGCATAACTTTGCATTTTTCATAATTAAATTTTGTGAGCCAAATAGATGACCATGCCATTATATTATTTATATCATTTTGAAGGCTTATTGAATCATTAGGATTTTTTATAACATTTATTATTTTACTATCATTAGCGTAAAGTTTAATAGGGTTTTTGACTTGATCTGGCAAATCATTAATAAAAATCAAAAACAGCAGTGGTCCTAAAACTGACCCCTGTGGTACACCACTAATAACTGGTAGCCAATATGAGACAGTGTCGCCAAGGACCACTCTCTGTTTTCTGTTAGTTAAAAAGTTCTCTATCCATCCCAGATAATTTCTTACAATACCATATGATTGAAGTTTAGTGATCAAACGCGAGTGTGGTACTTTATCAAAAGCCTTTTCAAAGTCTAGATACAACATATCAACTGAGTGGCAATTTTCTAGTACATCTGTTATGATATCAAGAGTTTCCAATAGGTTTGTTGTGCAGCTTTTATTTTTTCTGAACCCATGCTGATTTTCATTTAATAAGCTGTTATTTATTAGATAATCCATAATTTCATCTCTAATGAGTGATTCCAAAACTTCACACGGGATAGAAGTCAATGAGATTGGCCTGTAATTAGATGCAATGTTCGTATAACCTTTTTTAAAAATTGGTGTTATATTTGCTAATTTCCAGAGTTCAGGTAATTTTTTCTCAGTCAACGATTTTATATATATTAAATGTAATGGTTCACAGAGAGTACTATGACATTTATTTAAAACATATGGGCTTATCCCATCTACTCCGATAGCTTTGTAAACATCTAATTTTTTAAATTTTTTTTCAATAGTATGGCAAGTTATTTTATTATTTATACCTACTTCTAGAATAATTTCAGTCTTCTGCGGTATATTTGGTATGTTATGTTTATCTTCGTTAACACAAACTGAATTGAAACTATTGTTTAAAATATTTGCTATAGATTCTCTATTTGTTACAATGTTATTATATTCATTAGACATTGAAGCTATTCCTCCTTTAATTTTTTTGTTAGAATTTACATAACTATAAAATAACTTGGGATTTCTTTTTGATGTTTCACTGATTTTTTTTTCATATTCAATACGTTTTAACCTCACCATGTTTTTAACTAATTTACTTTGTATTTTGTATTGCTGAACCAAAATGGGTGATTTGGATTTATTTGATATTAATTTGTTCCATAAGGTTGTTTTATGTCTGATTTCAGTCTTAATTTGTTTGTCAATATATGGTTTTAAAGCTATGTGTTTATACACTTTTTTAGGTATATAACAGTCAGATAATTCTTGATATTTATTTACAAAAATTTTGTAGGATTCATCAACGTTTTTATTAGAGAAAATACGTGACCATCTTATACTATGGAATGAATTGTTCATTTCTTGATAATTTCCGGTCAACTTTGATTTTCCCAAAGGAAGATTTTGATGTTGTTGGTTTTTTTTTGGATAATTTCCGGTCAACTTTGATTTCCCAAAAGAAGATTTTGATGTTGTTGGTTTTTTTAAGATGTAATTCCAATACAATACCTTATGTGCATTATTTAAATTGCTTAACGGAGGATTATAGCCTATGATCGAAATACGCTCTGGTGCATCGGTTAAAATCAAATCTAAGGTTTTGCCTTCTGACAGTGTCCCTGAATTAAAGGTTGGTTTTGTGACGTTTTGAGTCAAAAAGTTATCATTTAAATTGTCTAAAAAAATTTGTGCTTGTCTATCATTTTTTAACACTGTTTGGATATTCTCATCATTCTCATTCCATTTTATATTTGGGTAATTTAGGTCTCCGGCTCAGAGTAGACCTGAATATTTTTATATTCTTATTATCTTTAATTAATATCTTTAATTAATATCTTTAATTAATATCTTTTTATATTGGCGATTAACATCATAAGAAGTCTTCCATTTTTCTGAAGACATACTGATAAACTTTTTTAGATTCTAAAATTGAATAAAATTAAACTGTTGTTCTTGATTTGTTTTTTATTAAAATTTTTATTAGAAGTTAAAATATGACATTAAATATATTCAACTATATTATCATTTTTATTATATCTTTATACATTAATATATATTATACATATTATACATAATATACATTAATAACAATAAAATTGTAAAAGTTTAAAAATAGCATTATTTTACACTTAATAAAATAAAAATCTTAGTAAGGTAATTATTAAATAAAATAGATATATAAAAAAAAAATATAGCTAAATTGCCGTTTGGCCGATTATTTTTTGCGGTGGCCAAATTCACGGATTTGGCCACCAAGTGGCCAATCTGGCAACCCTGCTAATATAACGAAAAGTGCTTGACGTTTTAGTGTGTTTATTAGTCTGCCAATAATTTACAGAATAAAAAAAGCAGATACGATATATGGCAAAACTATAGCAAATTAGTGTTTTAAACATTAAAAACTGAGTTAACGGTCTTGTCACAGAGCACCGCGAAAGTGCATTCAACCAGGAAGTTCATGCCTCCTTCCTTACTGTGACGCAAAAATTTGTCCAAGGCTCGTTTTGAACCTCGATCTGCTGCTTCTAGAGCAAATGCTCTAACCACTCCGACCGCACAAAAAATAACCGTTGCTATGATGTTGCTAAGGAAACATTTAATAGCACAAACAAACTACTTAAAACTAAAAAAATTCCAAAATTTAAATACCCAGCATGAAAATGCAGTAAATTTTAAAAAAAGAAACAGTTATAATAAATTTTTTGATTTTTTTTGTTTTTAATTTTCTACTTTTTTTTTCTATAGGAACCACCTTTAAAGACCAATAAAAAAAGAGACATGCTGAAAGACCCATAAAAAAGAGGGAGCAAAAAGAAATAAAAGCAAATGAATAGGTCTTTTGAGATTACACGGTGCGTATTTTATCCCACATATAAATTTGTCCTGACACACGAAGCAGAAATATAGTTTTACTTACATTTCTTAAAGATTTTTTTAATTTTAAATTAAATTTTTTTTTTTTTATGGAATTAGGTTTGTAGTTCCTAATTAAAAAAGGAGTCTAACGCTTAGTGTGATTTTAACAGCTCTGTAAATAAGTAGTTTCACTATTTAAAATGGGAACTATAAAGTCCATTTTTGTATGTCAGGTGTATTTGTGTGTTGAATAATTTTTTTTAAACCTTTATTATCCTAAAAATGTGCAAACTTCAAAGCAAATTATTTTGTGAATGTAGTTTTTATCAGAGTTTACAATGCGTAAATTGGCAAATCTAGCCTCAATTAGGTTAGTCGGAAAACAAGCCAAAACTTTTTGTCGGTAAATAAACTTGCGACATTCATGTTATGAACTTGCACATGCCCTGAGTCATATTCTTTTATTTTGTTTTAATTTCATTTAAAATAAGCTTTACAGCGTTTTTTAAAACATAAAAGTATAAAGGAAAAAAATATCGACTGGAGCCAAAATAAAATACAAAAATAGATTTATTATTAAATGTAAAGATGCAAATTTTTCTCTCATTTTACATCTCACGCTTAACATTTAGTCGGTCCAAATAAAATAAAAATTAGTTTAAAAAAATAAAAAACTTGCCGAGAAAAATAAAAATAAAATACGGTAAAATCTTGTTTTAACGTTTAAAACAAAAAAAAAATAAAAAAATACGGAATCATTTCGAACGGCAATACGAAAAAAAGCGGAATCATTCCGAATGGCATTTTTATTAAAGGAAACAGTTTAACCTACCGTAAATTACCATCGGAACAACATTAATAACGCCAGACAAAAGGTACTCAGATCCGTATTCAACTTCTTCTTTCTATCGATCAAACTCTTTTACTTCATTTTTTTGCAATCTCAAAGATAATTAAAGCTATTCTTTTTATAATAATAATTATTATAATAGTAATAATAAAGTATAATAATAAATTTGTTTATAATAATAGAGATATTTCAATATTGAATCATATGCTTTTATGTTTTTAAAGATAAATCGTTATGAAAATAGCCGTTATTCAAAAAATTTGATAATCCGTCGCTACACCATACATTCGATCTTGGCATGGATTTTAAAGTAAACATTCAAAATGAAACCAGTTATCACATGAATCACAGTTTACCATTGTATCGCCATTTTCTGACTTTTTAGATTTACAAACACAAAAAAACATTATCGTCTTTATTGATAATTTCATTTAATATAAAGACGGGCAATTTCATTCCTTATTTAACTTCTCTTGTTACTAATTCCCTTAAAATAAACATATTCTAAAAATATCATTTATTAAACAAAGATTGCATAAAACTACAGTCAGATTCAATATGTAAAACTATAAACTCACTAGGTGTCCACACCATAAAATCACAAAACACATTAACTTCAGTAATTCTCATTTCAAGGTGAATCTGAAAAAATATTTGTGCTTTTTTTGTAAAAGATTTTTCATAACCGTATTTACACTAACATAAAAAACATCTTTCATTATTTCTTTTTTCAAAGGTTTGTCTTTTAAAATAAAAGAACATTTAATTTCCAAAACTCCATGCCCACAACAAGTGCAATAAACAGAAGCATCAGGAAATGCGCCATACCATGGTTTTTCACATTCTATACAAAGTCATAATTTTTCAACTTTCAACTATTAATAAACAACAATATCAGAAAATGGCGTTGAATTATAAAATTTATTGGAGTCTGAATAAATTTGTGCATATAAAATCAATGCATTTTTCTCATTTTCTCGTCCAAATACTAAAAATTAATGATTTAGGCGATGCTTCAATTCTAGCATTAAAAACTTAATACAAAGTAGAACCAGTCATTCGGGCTACTCATACCTGATACCAAGAATCACACAATGATTGATTTCGAGTTGCTTCTTCAACCTAGATAATGTCATCAAATTTGATTTTTAATACTTTTTTTTATTCATCATAAAAGAAACTCAACTGCTCCTAATCTAGTGATTTATAGTTTTTATTGAAAAAATTTCTAAGAGATAGTGGCAATTACTACAACAGTAGATTCAAGGTGAATAAATTCATTATCGTAATTTTTTAAAGAATGAAGGGCAGCTGTTTTGAAGTCAAAACTTTTCAAATTTGACAAAAACTCATTTTTTTCAATATTTGTAGCATTTTCCTCATTCTTTTTCTTGAAAGTTTTTCCTTAGCATCATCAAAATATAAATTAATATAATTAAACTGGGGGACCAACAATATTTTTTATAAATGTTTGATTCCTTTGACATGGCAAATAAGTTGGTGTGGATGATGTCATTCCAATGCGAACAACAGCTTGAATTTTGGATAAGGTTGCAGCTACATGTAAGCATGTTTCACCAAGGTTTTTAAACACAATAAACTATAACCTGTTAAAAAATTTGCCGTAGGTTCAACGGAGAATATTAGGCACCAAAGTAACAGCACTTACTCTATAAAATTTAACGGTTTCCGTAGTTTCTATTTTCCGTAAAAATTAACGGAGAAAATCCGTTAAAAAAGAACCAGGACTTTCTCCGTAAAATTAACGGTCTCCGTATTTCATTTTTTTCCGTTAAAATTTACAAAAAAACTCAGTTAACTAACAGATATTAAATACTGCAGTTACTCAACTCAAAGTAGCACTGCTGCTTTGTTTATAACTTTAAATTTGTTTATAACTTTTGGGTAAACTCTGCTGCAGAGTTTACGCAAAAGTTATAAACAAATTAATAAAACTTATACGTTTTATAAAATGAAATTCGAAACGCGAAATAATTACAAATTATAATATAATACAAACCCACAACATAAAATAACTAAAGAGTCTTTAGTTTTATTTAAGCTAAACAAAAAATCAATCGAAGAAAATCTATTTTGATTGTGGGAGAAAATCTATTTTGATTGTGGGAAAATCTATTTTGATATGAGGAGATCATCTAAAAAACCTGCTTAGACATGAAAGTTTTGTTTGACTTAATTCCATTTCTACAATCTACACACTAAAATCGTTCATACATTTAAATATAATCCCAAATTAAAGTTTTTTTTGTCTAATTAATAAAAAAAGAAAATTTCTGTTAATGCAAAACTGTAAGTTTTTTTTCATTTTCTCAAAATTTATTTACTTGGAATTAATATTAAATATGAACAAAAAGTACTTTTTTTAATGTTGCTCAGTCCAGAGATCCCCAGTTCGTTTATGAAGCTCAAAACCTCTGGATGCAGTTCGACGCTGTTATATACCAATCTTTTTTCGAATTTATTATATTTTTCAGGGTTCATCTTTACGATACATCTACGTAAAAATTAGATCATAAATAAATCATTAAAAAACTCAGGAAAAGAAAGTAATGTTAAAAATATTAAGAAAATGTATTTTTATTTATATTTATTATGTATTTACTACACGATAATACATGTGTGTATGTATGTATGTATGCATGTATGTATGTATGTATGTATGTATGTATGTATGTATGTATGTATGTATGTATGTATGTATGTATGTATGTATGTATGTATGTATGTATGTATGTATGTATGTATGTATGTATGTATGTATGTATGTATGTATGTATGTATTTTGAACATACTTTAAATAACGCATAAGGTAATTGCCAAAAATACCGTTTCAGACATATTTTCGCGTCACGGTAAAAATGGAGAGCCCCACTTTTATTCACTACATTGTAGTGGTAAACCTCTTTCAGATTAAAATTTTATTTCTGCATCCCGTTCTAAAATATTTTAGTAGTATTTTGCAGTTTTAGTAGCTTTAACTCTATATCTATTGTGCTCTTATTCGATTTTTAAATGAGGTAGATCATCATAACTGTTTTTTTAGTAAATTCATGAAAAAAGGTCAAACATTGGCTTTGTTATTCTTTATTAAAAAAATATTGATGTGCTTAAATCGCTCAATAGTGAATTTTAACGTTAAAAAGTATTTTGCATTTATAAAATATATATTTTCAAATAATAATACAAAATCAAATAAACTCTTACACTCTTATTAATTATTACTTTAAACTACATAATGTTAGTTATGTTATGTATGTTCTTTTGTTTATTAAATAGTGTTAAAACATTAACCGAACAATAGTGGTTGAGGTGGTTAGCTTGCAGCTTTTTTGAAGTGAAAGCCCAGGTTCAAATCCTTACGTTTCCACATTTATTTATATTTTTTCAATATTTTTTAAAATACAAATTAAAACATTTTTGAAGTTTATATATATATACATACATATAGTATGTGTATATAATATATATATATATATATATATATATATATATATATATATATATATATATACATATATATATATATATATATATATATATATATATATATATATATATATATATATATATATATATATATATATATATATATATATATATATATATATATATATATATATATATATATATATATATATATATATAGTATATATAAGTATATAAGTATATATAAGTATATATAAATTTATATTTTTTTACGTTCATATGTATGAATGTATTCATACGTTCATATAAATGAACTCATACTTATGAAAGTAAAAACATTTGGAGGGGGTTTATTAACCCCCCTCAATTTGAGGGGGTTGCAAACTTTATATGGTCATAACTTTTGAGCACTAAAATATTTTACTATGAAATTTAAAGTTTCTTGATGAATATAAGTCTAGTTAAAAATAGTACATAAAATTTTTCATCAACTTGTTGTACTCACGTTTGGGGCAGGTGGTGGCTAAGATTTTAGGGTTTCTTTTTCCCATTCTCCTATCACAGTAATTTTTTTTTCAAAGAATCTTTTTGTCATACGTATGAACGTAAAAAAATTTGGAATTTTCTTGTTGTTTATAAATTGGTTATTTCAAGCATTTAAAAACCTTCCCACGCCTCTGTATATATATATAAATATATATATATATATATATATATATATATATATATATATATATATATATATATATATATATATATATATATATATATATATATATATATATATATATATATATATATATATATATATATATATATATAATTATTATTATCATTATAAACATATTTCAGACAAGAGGCATATACAATTTAAGTGCCAAGTCCATAGATTTTAAAAGAAAAATATTATTTTAAAACTTGATTAATTGAATGCATGAAATTATTCACTTAGGTACAAATTATCAACTGATTACAAAAAGCATGTCTGTAGTTTAATATAATTGTGTTAAAAAATGGTAGTCTGTGCTCTAAAAGCATGCGAGATCTACTATTATACTTGTTGAAATCAAAAAATATTTTTGCACATTTGTTGTAGCAATACTAAAAGGCGTGCCATTGTTTTAACATAATAATTTTGCCACAGTGGAGCACCATATAAAAAAATGCAGTATGATTTAAACAATTTAACCTTTACTCTGGTAGAGCATAATTAAAAGCGCCTAATTAGAATATTCGTAGGTGTGTTACCTCTTTGGTTATATCAAGACCATCGGTTAGGTCATTTTTAATTATATGACCAGGCATTTAAAAGATTCAACATTGAATATGCAGATTTGAGATTTGTAAAATCAAATTGTGTATGAAAAAGTTATTAAGTTTCTACTTAACAAGGTTAAGTAGCACACTCTATTTATCTTATGTCCGGCCACGTCTAGAATTCGCCATTCAAGCCCCCGTATCTCGAAACAGACATTAAGTTGCTTGAGGATGTTCAAGACCGCGTCACTAAGACAATATCATCTATCAGCCATTTTGATAAAATAAAGAGTCTGCAGGTACTCAAATTAACCACCCTCAAAGAACGTCGTTTGCGTGGTGGTATAATCAAACAATTTAAAATTTTCAACAACTAATACAAAGTTCATTTTACGGTCTCACAGCATAACTAATTGAGGTTTACAACCTACGCGGCCATGACAAGCAGCTGGATCATCAATTCGTAAGAGGATGTGAGGAGAGATCAAACTTTTTCACAAACCGAGTTGCGGTCCATTGGAACTCTCTCACACAGCACGCGGTAAACGCTCCATCTTTAAATGCGTTTAAAGATCGGATTTCGATAAACTGTTAAATCAGCATAGAGACTCCTGGAAAAATCTCTTCATCAAATTAATAATTTAACATTTAAATATATACATATGTATATACTTTTTAATTATTGTTACGGCATTATTGCGGTTTAAATATATAAATTTGATTACTGAATATATCAAACTCATATATATATATATATATATATATATATATATATATATATATATATATATATATATATATATATATATATATATATATATATATATGTCTTAACTACTGTAAATTTTCACACATTTGTGGAATAAGCTGATACTAATAGAATTCTTTAGAATTGATTACTTCTGCTTTTTTTATAAAATATTTTTTCAAAGGGGGTATTAAGTGTAATTATTATTTAAGCTCTCTTACTTTTATAGTTTTTAGTAGAAACTTATTTTCGTGCTTGCATTTAAAAATCAATTCCGATTTTTTGTTTAATAAACATTCTTGGTTTGCACGGGTAATAATTTCAAATTTTTCTTGTAGACATAGTACGCATTTTTTTTGGAAATATTGTTATATGCAGGTGCTGTTTTAAGGATGGACCAATTCATTATAAAATCATCAATATTTTTATCTTTTAATTCCCATATATTTTATATTTTGAAAGCATGGTATCTTTTGAATACTTTTTTTTTTTTAAAGGATTGCTTTTGATTGGCAAAACATTTTTTCCATTCACCCTCTATTATACCAATATATTGTTTATCAGGTTCATTCTTAGAGGAAACAACACATTTATATACTACATTTTTGGATTTTTTTGATACTAAATTTTTGAATAAACAACTTCTATTTTGAAGAATATATTTTAAAATTGTTTAAATATATATTAGGCTTCTTATTAATATTTGTTGAACACTCTAACTTGTATTTTAACATTCCGTGTAAATATGGAAACTAATAATTTCACTTACTCGTTGAAAAATTTACCTGAACTAGATGAAAAAAGTTATACTATTTCTTTGATTGAAAAAGTTGAACATTTTTTTAAGAGAATTTATTGGAAAGAACATTTTTTCTTAAAACCAAAAACAAACACAGATGATGTAATTAATAATAACCAAGATAATGAAAATTTATGGATTTAAAACAAAAAATACCCCCCCCCCCCTTTTTATACCTGATTTGTAAAATTTTGAAAATGACCTATTGCACTTAATTAAAACAATAAAGTTTCGCTCTATAAAAAATGAATTTCAAATAGAATTAAAGTTAGATGTTAAAAAAAATTAAATCAAATCCTAATATTTTGGTTTTTGCTGACAAAACAAATAACATTTACCAACTTACAACAAAAAACTATGAAAAAATCTTACGCGACAATATTACTAGTTCTTATGAGAAAGCCTCTAAAAAAATGGAAAATGCAATTAATTTAGAAGCAAAAAGTATTGCTAAAATAATAAATCTTGATAAAAGAATCAAATCAAATGCCCCTGCCCAAGCCTTCGTAACACTAAAAGACCATAAACCAAATTTTCAAAACAAACTTCCTTGTAGGTTATTGGTTTCCTCAAAAAGTGAGATTGGACATGTAAGCAAAGTTAAATTGACAAAATTAATAATATTCTTAGAAATAAATTATATTTGCAACAGTGGAAAAATAACACTGATGTTATAAATTGGTTCTCCATAATTGAAAATAAAAATGACTGCACATTTATTCAATTTGACATTAATGATTTTTAACCCTCAATATTTTAGATAAAACAATTGAATTTTTGAAAAGCCACATAGTTATTCCCGAAGAAACAATCCTTATAATAAAACATTTGTAGAAAAACCTTACCTTATTTTAATAAGGAAAAATAAAAAGCATACATGACTGCTTTAACGTAACAATGGGTAATTATGATGGAGCAGAGATTTGTGAATTTGTTGGACTATATATTTTAGATTTTTTTAAATAAAATAATCAATATAAATGACTTAGGTCTTTATCGCGACAATGGTTTAATAGTAATACGTAAAAAATCTGGTCCACAGCTTGATAAAATTAGAAAAGATATTATAAAATTTTTTTAAAAATATTGGCTTTCAAATGGAAATAAACATAAATTAAAAAATTGCAAACTTTCTTGACGTCACAATTAACCTCACTGAAAATTCATATAAGCCTTTCAAAAAACAAAACGACGAATTATTGTATATTAATATTAAATCAAATCATCTACCCAAAACAAATTCAGATTTCAGTTAATACAGGCTAAACCAAAACTCCTTTAATGAAAATGTGTTCAATTTCTCTAATCAAATATTTGAAGATGCTCTTAAAAAAAGTGGTTTTGAAAACTTTGAACTAAAGTTTGACCCTAAAAAAAACAATACAAAAAAGCGAAATAGAACTAGAAATATCATTTGGTTCATATATATCACTTTACTGAGCTAACTTAAGATGAATTTGAAATAGTCTTTTGTTCGTTAAAAGAAATAAACTGAATATGATGAAATTAATGGGAATATTATAATAGCCTTTTGTGATGTTATAAACACATTCTTTTCAAAATCTTTAGAGCATCCATCAGTCAATGAATGTTTAAAAATAGCTACAAAGGAATTTTTAAAAATAGTCTAAAAGTAGCTTAAGTAATTCCTATCAGAAAAGGGCTAAAGCTTTAATAAAATTTTTTCTATTTTCTGACATTTAAACTTTATTTTAGGTGTTCGAGGTAAGTTATTACAACTTCAACTCGTTTAGTTATAATTATACTGCGCAAATAGGTGATACATGTGTACTTTTACCCGCTTAACACCATTAGATTGATATTCAAATTCTAACTCCTTTAGCCTAAATCTTTAACTTTTTTAAAAAAGGTCAACATAAGGATAGTTATTCGTTTAAAATGGGGTGATACTTGATGCCAAAATCAAGTATCTCATGTTTAAACCTAGTTAGGAAGGAGGACGACTGAATAAGCGCAAATTTCATAAGTGCGAAATTCATTTGGCGCATTTGTGTCAATTCGCACCTATGCCAGTTTGCAAATGCGCCAGTTTTTGTAACTGCTTTGCAGTTAATACCCCGCCTCAACTGATCAGGAAAAAGAACTTGGTATCTTTTTAGAAGTAATGTCTAAGATATATTACGGTCTAATTGTGGTGCAACTGCGCAAATTGGCATACTCTTATGCTGCAACAAACTAGACACCATATCCCTCCTCATGGGATAAAACCAAACAAACTGGCCGCAACTGGTACAAAAGTTTTCGTAATAGAAACCTTAAAATGGCATTGAGAACACTAGAAGCCACAAACCTGGCATGAAGCATAGTTTTTGGTTTTTTCCCAAACGTATATGGAATATTGACAAAACTGGCCTTACTACAGTACACAAGCCTGTTAGCATTATTGCTGTAAGAGGGTTGAAACAGGTTGGAAAAATTACATTTGCAGAACGAGACGAACTGATTACGGTATGTGCTTGCGTAAATTCTGCTGCTGGTCACATGCCTCCTTATATGGTATTTCTTATAAAAAATTGGCAGGATTGGTTTCTAAGCCATGCACTCACTAGCAGCAATGAAACAACATATCCCAGTGGATTGATGATTTGTTCTAGTTTCTAAAATTTTTGAAACACTTTCTCTGTTTTGCTCAACCAAGCTTAGAAAAGAAGCATTTAGTTATTATGGTAAACCACGAGAGCCACTACTCAGTGAAGACTGTAAATTATGCAAGAGACAACGGCATCGTTTTTCTTACATTTCCGCTGCACCCTTTTTTATAAGTTGTAGCCTTTGGACCGCGCTGTTTTTGATCCACTGAAGGCTTACTACTTCCAAGCAACTTCTAATCTCATGATCAAATTCTCAGACAGAATTGTTACAATTTACGACGTTGCTGAACTGCTCGGAGATGCGTTCCCTCAAGCCATGACTCCTTCAAACATCATTAGTGAGTTCAAAGTATTTGAATGTATTCAAAGTATCTATGTGGCCGATAAACCTAAGCATATTTACTGACAAAAAATTTATGACCGCTGTCACAGACTGTCCAGACCCAGATTTGATTCAGAAATAAGTTCGTGATCCAATCGAACCAATACCTAGTACTAGTACATCAGTTTCTATGGAACTAACGTTGTTGGTACCATGAAACCTTCCACTAAAACATCGGATATAATATCTGTGAAACACTTTTTCCACAAGATATGATGCTCTATCTCAAAGCAGCACCTCGTGTCCAATCTTCTTGAGGTAGAAAACAGGGGTGCTCTTGCATCCTAGCTGATACCTTTGAAAAAGTAGAAGTTGAAGAACTTGCTTGTGCGAAGATAGCTAAGAAAACCGCAAATGTGCGTGCGAGGATAGCAAAGAAAATCGCAAATGTGCGTGCTAGGATAGCTAAGAAAATTAAAGAAAAGAAAAAAAAAAGGTTTCAATAACTTAGAAAAATAAAACTTTTTAATTTAACTGATGAAGAGGATGATATTTCCAGCCATCCGGCTGGATCAAATTTTTACGTCGGAAAAGTTTTGTGTCTTAAAAAAAACCCCTGAAAATTAAATTCTTGAGGAGAACGGCACTAGAAGAAAGCTGTTTCACTTTTCCAACAGTAGAGGACGTCAAAGAAGTGGATTGGGCTGAGCCATCCATGAACGGAACGACCAGGCCTGCTGGCATTATAAAGTTTAAACATAAATTTGATGCTAACGTTTTATAAAATAACATTGGTTTTTTTTGGGTCAGTTTATTTCTACATTTTATTTTTTTGGTTAATAAAGTAGGTTGTCCAGCTCGTATCATTGTTTTAATTATCATTTATTATATCATTTGATTTAATTACTTATATTATTTTTATAGGTGGAATACTTTATTCACGGGGAATCAAGTATCCCACTCGTGGGGATCAAGTACTTCTATATAGACCTGGGTACTTAATCCCTGCATGTAGACATCAAATACTGATCTAGTTTATTTGTTCTGCATGAAAATGTTTTTACATAAACAGCCTATAGAAAGAGAAAAACCACATTATTAAATTGTGTAAAGAAACCAAAATAAAAAAAAAAAAAATTAAAACTGTCGGTAAAAATCTACAAAGACCAAAACAGGGGTTAACAATCCCACTTTTCCGCTGAGAATAAAATCTTATACGAAAACCAATTTAGTTAAAAAAAAATTCAACAGAACATTCAATACATTAATTTACGCGCAGCATCTCAAAATCTTTTAAAAAATCTCAATTCACATTAGGAGTATTTATTGACTTATCTAAAGCTTTTGATACCTTTAACCATCAAGTTCTAATTCTAAAATTATCATCATATGGAATAAAAGATAACACCCTCAGTTGGTTAAAAAGCTATTTTACAAATCGTGAGCAATATGTTTATAATAAAGATATAATGAAGGCCACAAGGCTTCATACTTGGACCATTTCTCTTTATATTATATTTAAACAACCTCCATAAAACTTCAAGCCTAATCAAAATAATCTTTACAGACGATACTATTTATTTCTATCTCATGAAAATACTAATATTCTTATATAATACAAAAATAATAATATTCTGATATAATACGAAAATGTTATTATTAATTTATCTAATATCTCTTAACACAACTAAACTAAATGGATACTTTTTTATCCCCTCTATAAAAAATGTAGAATACTACATCTGTTACCTGAACTCTACGTTGCCGGTATAATCTTAAAAAGAGAAAAAGTAACAAAATTTCTACAAATCTTTATTGGTAAAAATTAAACTAGGAAACATCACATTAACATTATCTCTTTTGGAATTTCTAAATACATCGCTATTCTATATAAAGCTAGAAACATACTAAATAAACGGCAGTTGACACAATTATACTATTCATTTGTTCACTGTCATATAAGCTATGCAAATATTACATGAAAAAGCATTCAAAAGACAAAACTTAAAAAATCTTTTTAATCATCAGAAACACGCAGTTTGTGTAATAAACTTTAGAAATCGTCTTGCACACTCTACGCTATTTCTTAAAGATATAAAAGTTTTAAATGTTTATCAATTTAATATTTTCAATATTTTATGCTTTATATATTTTTATGCTTTATGTTCAAGTGTAAATAAAATGTCATCTCATTCATATTTCAATATCTTTACTCTTTAAAAGCGTCAAAACAAATATAATTTACGAATTGGCATCAATCTTAATGCTTCTTTTTTCAATACTAAATACGTAAAAGTTTGTATGTCCCATCGTGGACCTCTTTTTTGGAACAAAATATTTTTAACTTTTGACTTTTCAATCAAATTAAATTACTCTTCATTTAAAATTAAAATTGAAGAAATTATTTTTTTAACTGAAATCATCTTCATCTGTTTTTGAGTTTATTATTATTACTATTATTATTTATATTGCTGTTTTATTATTTAGCAATATTTTCATGTTTAGTTATTTACAAATATTTCCATGACTACTTTGCAAATTTACATATCTAATGGATTTTGGTTTCGTTTTTTATTGTTTTTTATTACTGTTATTGTTAAACTTTATGTTACTGTTTTTGTTATTTTATGAACTTTTCTAACTTCATTGTAAAACTACATAGGGAAAAGTCGGGTAGCCCCGGACACTTAAAGAAAAAATAAATTGTACACATGAGCTAACAGATAAAAAAGTGTTGTTAGACTTTTTTTAAAATTATAAACATTTATATATAGAATTAGAGACAAAATAATCATTATTGTGTACTTTAATAATAAACAAAACATAAAAGAAAAATATTTAGAAAAAAGGCATGTTTCAAAATTGGAGGGAAACACATAGTTTAACCATGATTTTACCTCTTTTTTTACCCGTGTCACACAAATGTAATATATATTTAATTAGCATTGCAATGTTCTCTACACATAATATATAAATATATATATTTATATATATATATATATATATATATATATATATATATATATATATATATATATATATATATATATATATATATATATATATATATATATATATATATATATATATATATATATATATTCCAGTTCGTTCTGTACTTGATGTGAAAAAACTATAAAAATTTTGAATGAAATCAGAGAATTGAACAGCTAATGGACAAGAGTTGGTAGTTGCACATGGTACAAACATAGCTAGAGTATAATACAGATTGCATGGTTGGGGTGAGCAAATATAGATCTATGATTTCCGTTAATATTTAACATAAACATCTACAAAGTACTGTGGGTAAAGGTAAAAAAAAATATCATAGCTGTTTACTAGTGTTTATTAGTCTGAATTTAAAATTTTTGATAAATTCTTTATTGTTAGGGCCCCTTTTTTGAGGAGGCCCCGAGACTGTATCCCCGGTTGCTATCAATTAAGGTTTACGAATTATTACTTAATAGCCTTTATTATTGGTCTTCATTATAATAAAAACCAAAACTTTGAGACTTGATAAATGCAATATGAAACTATACTTCATAAATAATGCAGTCAAAAAAAGCAATTGACTTAGGATAGCAGACAGAATTGGCGACATAGCATAAAATAATTTTAGCTGTCACAAAGTATTTTCCATAAAGAAAAAAAAAATAATAAAAAGGTAATTTGAAATAAACCTAAATTGCCACCAGATTAATATTTATCAAAAATCTAAACAGTAAATATTTTTAAACTATCTTAAATAAAATCTGTCATGTAAACTTTTATTTTCTTTTAACTTAAATTGTGTTATTGACTGTTAAAGCAAATACTCAGTTTTGTATTACGAGAAAAAGTCGAGTTAGCTGTAAACATAGTTAAAGTTTTGATAGTAAAGTTTGGATAGAAAGTTTGATTTTAATATTGTTTAAAAAAATCAACAAAAATCCTAATATATATTGAACAATACTTATAATCTTGATAATATTTGTATAAATTGATAATATTTTAATCGTATAATTTATATTAGAATACTTGATAAATTAATAATATTTTAATCGTATAATTTATATTATAAAACATTTTATTATGTAAAAATTTTAGTTTCCTTATTGACATTTTTAATTTTGAAAATTAAACTGTTAATTAGCAGGGATATAAGATGCTTATTAAAACTTATATGTTTTTTTTATTGGTTATCGGAGTACGCTTGGGAGAGACAGATTTGTATTCAAGAGATACACTTTTTAGCCCATTTAGTTGCCTAATTAGGAGGCATTATAAAGTTTTTATCAGGGAACAAATACCAAAAGTTAAAAGCGAAGAACACCCTGAATTAAGTAACAAATTAAAATATCCCAAATTTACAATTAAGTCACAAGGCGATGGTTATGAAGAAAGGTGTTACGATGAGTCAACATGGGTGGCAACTTCAATCCAAGCACCATACAGACAAAACACATGTAAACTTTTTTTATTGTTTAGAACTACACAGTTATTATAAATTAACGTTGTGTTAGTAGTTTTGTTCATTCGTAGTAATATATATATATATATATATATATATATATATATATATATATATATATATATATATATTATATATATATATATATATATATATATATATATATATATATATATATATATATATATATATATATATATATATATATATATATATATATATATATATATATATATATATATATATTCAATAGCATTTCAACCTATGTATCAAACTCTTTTCAAATATATTAATGGTCAAAATGATCAAAAAGTTAAAATACCGATGACTGCTCCAGTTTTTGTCTTAATGAAAAAGTTAACTAATAAAAATGATACTTTGGAAATTAAAATGCATTTTTTTATTCCTCCTACAAATTTAACGATACCCAAACCAACCAGCGATGTTAGTAAATTTGTAAGTTATCCCAAATTTTGCGTCTACGTAAGAGGTTTTGGAGGATATCAAATAGGAGTCGATAGGAATCTGAAGGTACAACGTAATATTCTTACAGAAGCACTTGACAAAGCCGGTCGAAAATACCAAAAAATGTTCTTGGCTTACGCAGGTTACGATTCACCATTGAAATTGTTTCACAGGCATAATGAAATTATGTTGGGAGTTAGATCTGAAGAAATTAATATGCTAAACATTCTCCCAAATGAAATTTCTCCACAAATTCAATCAAACGAGGTTGTTTAATTTTTCATTTTTAATTAAAAATACATAACTTTTTTTGAACTTGTTTGTTTTACGGAGTTTTGCAGTTTCAGAGGCTAACATGCATATTTGAAATATGTAATACTTTATATTATCTCAATTAAAAGATATTTTATAATAAAAAATCAAAATTTAGTTTTAACGACAAATGCTCTAATGTTATGTTTCTAAGATCAGATCAAAAACTGCAGAACAGATCGAAAAAATCGGGAGACCTTGCCCTATTTGGGAATAATATAATATTAATTATAATATTTTTATTTATTATAACTTGCAGTTGATGTATAATTTAGGCTTCGGGACATCTGACTTTTTCACAACAAATGTTGCCTTAGTCACAAAAAGCTAGAGTGGTGACTGTTGTTAGGGTTTTGAGTTTTTTTGACTAATTCTAATTAATAGACTTTCCTTCGGGTATGTTATCTTTTGAGGGTACTTTTAAGTAGTCTCAAAAGATAAGAAGTCACAGCAACTCTAGAAAATCTCGGCTAGTGTTGATGATAACACCCTTTAGGAAATAGAGACCATTATCAGAAATTATTCTGATAATGGTCTCTATTTCCTAAAACAGCACCTTTGGGCTGTTTAACGCCTGCCATCAATACTAGTTTCGATAAAAAACTTTCATATAGTTTTTATAGAACACATAGATAGCCTAGATACCATTTAAAAAATGTCAACTCAGTCTAGTCGCAAATATTTTTTATAACTAGGCAGGCGACGCAGCATTAAAACTAGTCAACGTAGGCTGAAAAATGAAAATTATTTTTATCAGAAGAAAAAAAGCTACTCAAGTATTATTTAGAACTATAATACCAGTATAGGATACATAACTTATTCAAGAATTAGCAATTTATGCTTATTGACAACATTTTGAGAGCTAAACAATAGACCTTTGAAAGAACAAGTATTTAATAACCTGAATGATAGAAGTGAAATATCTCCTACGCAATAAAATCATTTTTTCTTTGCTGAATTGGAATTCAGGAGTAAGTGAAACAATAACCAGAAGAAAGTATTATAACAAAGTCTATTCCGACTCCAAGGCTTAAGACTACTCCTAGAATATTCCGGCTAAAGAGTCAGATCAAATTAATGAAACTTTTATCAATTCTTTTAAATTGATAAAATATTTTATTCAATTTTTTGGTATAAAATAAGTTTCACTAGTCCTCGTCACTGAGATAAAAAAAAACAAACAGCCTTTAGCATTGAATATGCTTGTGACCAAAAAGCCTTAAATTCTTTTAGACAAACTTTCCATCTCCGATCTGACTCTACGCCCATTCTTGACGCCCATTCTTGATGAAACTGGCATCAAAGAGATGCTTAAACGGACGCCAATAAAGTTCATTGAGCAAATGGAGAAGTTCGTAAATAAAAACTCAGGCTGGTGCCCTAGTCAACTCTTTTCATCAATTCACTAATTATAGTCCATTCCGCAGAATGGACTACGTTAACACAACTACATAATTTTAGGGTTTTTATTCATTAATATGAAGAATAATGACAAAAAGTAGTTAGGGTTATCGTCAATAAAATTGATTGCGTCTTATAAAATTTTTCTCACTATTTCCTTTTATCACATTTTGATACAGAATGCGGCGTTGTTGAAAGAAAACTGGTGAGAAAAAATTGAAGATTTCTGACAGTCCAGGTGTTGTTATTATTTAGTTTATTTTGAAAAATTAAACTTTTAATTATGGCAGAGGAAGAGGGTAATTCTAAGGGTGTATGTATATGTCTGTGTGTGTGTGGAGGATGGGGGGGGGGGAGGGATTTTGTCGGGTATTTTACACATTTGAGTTCGGTGATTTTTAGTTTTAAGGACTTTTTTTTTTTTTTTTTTTAATAAAGAAGGTATCTGTTGGTGAGTTGACGTATGCACCCAAAGAAAACCAAAAAAGTATATAACTCTGCTTTAAAAAAAGTAGCGATCAAGAAATTAATGACTTAAGAGGCATTGGAAATGTTTGGAAACTTATTCAAAGTAAAAACAGAAACGTTTACCCCTGCAACTCATTTATAAAAAAAGCTTCAAAAAAATGTTAACCGATGTGTTGACAAAAAAATGTTAACCGAAATGTTAATCCCTGGTAATCGATACAGTTAACAAAAACGACAGCTGAAATTCAACTTCAAGCATTATTTGACCACACCATATTGCGTCTATATAAAAAAAAAATATATGCACACCATATTGTGTCTCAAAAAAAAAAAGTTCAGAATAAGAACAGAAAAATATGGTTTTAATATCTTGCCAAAGGATTTATATTCGGACGCTATTCTATGCTCATAATGATATAAAAGTTCTGTTTAAACTTGTTAATAAAAAACTTGAATGTCGTAATAGCATCACATAAGTAAATATTTTTAAAAACACCACGATATTTTTAAATCATGACATGTTTTGTAACTTTCATTACATTTTCAAAAGACTATTTATACAATTAAAAAAAACAACAACTCTCGGTAGAATATAAAAAAACAGAAGACATTACAGAGAAATATTTACAGACAAAAAAAATACATAATAAACCTATAAAATAATTATGACTATAATATGTAATAATTATGAAAATAATAGTTAGTAACCAATCAATATAATCAAAATAGAATAAATTATCATTTAATAAACAACATAATAATTAAAAATTTATGAAGGAAAAAGAACAAGAAAACTAAATTGCTTTTTTAGATGTACTTGTTAAAAAAATCCAATTTCTTTTCGACATCAGTTTATCATAAAAAAAAAATAAATAGTTTTGACTATAATTTAACTAAGTTTTAGTTAACTTATATTTAATTATAACCTAGTTTTGTTTACAAATTTGATCTTATACGTTGTTTGATTTATTGAACATATAAAATTAATAATACTTGGCTGGGATTTGATAGAGATATAAAAAATCATGCTTTTGTTTTACAAAATAATCAACTTCCACAAAAGGTTATAAAAACATAAGTAAACTTTTTAGTTAAAAACTCAAACATAAGTAAACTTTTTAGTTAAAAACTCAAACATAAGTAAACTTTTTAGTTAAAAACTCAAACATAAGTAAACTTTTTAGTTAAAAACTCAAACATAAGTAAACTTTTTAGTTAAAAACTCAAACATAAGTAAACTTTTTAGTTAAAAACTCAAACATAAGTAAACTTTTTAGTTAAAAACTCAAACATAAGTAAACTTTTTAGTTAAAAACTCAAACATAAGTAAACTTTTTAGTTAAAAACTCAAACATAAGTAAACTTTTTAGTTAAAAACTCAAACATAAGTAAACTTTTTAGTTAAAAACTCAAACATAAGTAAACTTTTTAGTTAAAAACTCAAACATAAGTAAACTTTTTAGTTAAAAACTCAAACATAAGTAAACTTTTTAGTTAAAAACTCAAACATAAGTAAACTTTTTAGTTAAAAACTCAAACATAAGTAAACTTTTTAGTTAAAAACTCAAACATAAGTAAACTTTTTAGTTAAAAACTCAAACATAAGTAAACTTTTTAGTTAAAAACTCAAACATAAGTAAACTTTTTAGTTAAAAACTCAAACATAAGTAAACTTTTTAGTTAAAAACTCAAACATAAGTAAACTTTTTAGTTAAAAACTCAAACATAAGTAAACTTTTTAGTTAAAAACTCAAACATAAGATAAATTTAATTTTATTTTAAGCTAAATCTAATTATACTACAACGAAAATTTAAAAATTATTTGTTAATATTGCAAAGATGTTCTAATAAAAATAATATTTAAAACTAAGAAAATACAAAATAATTTTTGTTTAAAAGATTTTTAAACTTTTTAAGCTACTTAAATCTCATGTTGCTTAATTTTCTTGTGCTGAGTGTAATGCTAGTTATGTTGGAGAAACGTCCAGACATTTGACAAGAATTAATGAGCACCTTGGAGCTAATAAAAATCCCATATATATAAACATTTAATTAGATTAATTGTTTATATATATGATAAATCTAATTGTAATTCATATGAGATTTTAGATACCGCTACAACTAAACATATTCAAAGAAAAATTTTTATATATATATATATATATATATATATACAAACACACACACACACACACACACACACACACACACACACACACACACACACACACACACACACACACACACATATATATATATAGACAGTGGCGGAACTTCAAAATTCGGGCCCCCCCGCAAAAGAATGTTTTTTTTGCGGAAAAGAGTTTTATAGTATAAATATTATTGAGA